ATGTATGTTACATATCATTATTTGGTAATTACATTGTTTCATTTCAATATCATAACAAATATTTGTTATGGTAGTAAACTGAAACACACCTATGTGTATATGTATGTTACATATCATTATTTGGTAATTACATTGTTTCATTTCAATATCATAACAAATATTTGTTATGGTAGTAAACTGAAACACACCTACGTGTATATGTATGTTACATATCATTATTTGGTAATTACATTGTTTCATTTCAATATCATAACAAATACTTGTTATGGTAGTAAACTGAAACACACCTATGTGTATATGTATGTTACATATCATTATTTGGTAATTACATTGTTTCATTTCAATATCATAACAAAATATTTGTTATGGTAGTAAACTGAAACACATCTATGTGTATATGTATGTTACATATCATTATTTGGTAATTACATATATGTACGCAAACGTGCACATAAATGTGTTTCATTTCAATATCATAACAAATATTTGAGAGTCGAACTCACAAAGCTCTGTATTTATTTATCTATTTTGTGTTTAGATAATTACCTGTTCGGATAATCATCTACACAGTGACTGTTGGGTTTATAGTGTTAGATGCTTGTTTGAACCAATATTTACGTTCATCACGATACACCTTCTTATTTATTCTTTGTTCTGAAAGACTAGCAACATGAAACAATGTAATATACTCCAATAATTTATATTAAGATAATTAAGCCTTTTAGTTGTTTCTTCTTACCATTTGCTGGTGACGAAAACACCAGTAAAGAAACTTCGTTGAAAAATACCACAATGTATAAGCATGCAAACACTCATTACCGGAGTTTTTGTTATATCACAAGTTTGTTTTTCAGAGCAAAGTTACAATGGGCTATCTGATTGTGTCCGTCGTCACGGGGAACCGAACCACGTAAACTTACTAATAACCCACCTGGGGACTGTGTCATAATTCGTTATGATTTCTAGGCCAGGCTTAATAGAAGAAAGATGGTTGAATTCCTCTGTTCATTATTATCCGATAATCGCATAGTTAATTATATGACTTTCAAGGATTATCTTATATTATCTGGGAATAAACATTCCTAAAGACGAAAATCAGTAATAAAGTGCATAAAATATTCTGCCACTGCTTGGTATTCAATTTGCTTCCTAATTCAAAGAATATTTTCTCTAAGCTTATGTGTTTTCAAAGTACTGTCTATCATTACATCTTTAATAAAAATCGATAACCGCGACGTTTAAAAGTCGTTAAAAAAAACTCCGATTTTTTTAATTTACTGGTTACTGACCGCTAAATTTAATCGTTTCAAAGCATATAAATACGTTGATATGTATCATATGTGAGGGATCTCTAAGATATGTTGTTGAATTTCAGAAGAAGAAAAAACTGGTTCGGCCTGCAAAAAGGAAAAAAATATAACAAGGGTTTTCTAGTTTTTTTTTAAATGAAGAAGCATTTTCTAATGATCAACTGAAACTTTAAAATGATCTAGATGACAATAGAAGCATATTATGAAGAAAAACTGAAACAAAAGTGTTTGATGAGGAAGATAATACATTTCAGTAAGCACACATTATACACTTGTTAAGAAAGTTCAACTAGTTTCTTAATTATATAAACAGTTTTTTTACTAGCAAAATTATAAAAATGAACACCATTTTTGTGAGACCATTATACATCAATGACTAAAAGAACGAGTATGATTAAAAATATATATGTTTTAAAAGTTTGTTTGTTTGTTTGTAATTAAGCACAAAGCTACACAATGGCCTATCTGTGCTCTGCCCACCACGGGTATCGAAACCCGGATTCTATCGTTGTAAGTCCGCAGACATACAGCTGTGCCACTGGGGGGCCGTTTTAAAAGACTTCGTCATTTATTTCCTTGTTCACTTGTACAACTACCTCTTCGTTTTTAGTTTTTCTTTTCCTTTTCAAGCGATTTTTGTTTAGTCTCTCCGGAAATGGCTTTCGCTGGCCGAAATTAGACAGGTATTTCGTTTTGTAGAAACGGAAAACACAGCCGCTGCTAGAAATTCCCAACTATGTGAGTCTGGTTTAGGGTATAAACATAACACTTAATAAAATCAAGCAGCTAATTTATTTTCAAATGACACTAATGCAAAAGTGAATAAATTATTTGAAAAACAATCCGCCTGATGATACAAGAAAAAGTCTGAACATTTATCTTATACGACACAATAAACAAATTTTATTTATCTTGAACTGAATTCCGATAAAGTACCAAAGAGTCGTTGGGTTCGATTGTATGTTCCACAATTAAATGATGTAACAAGCTTTTGTTTCAGTAAGGTTCGAAATGCAGACATTATTCGAAGAAAACTATCTATGGTAAAAGTAACATGACTGAAATCTTAGAAACTGATGATGTTCTTTCTATGTATTAAAATGCGACGAATGATATCAAGATTGAATGAATTTGGCTGTACCTAGAAAACCCTTATGAACAAGGAATCGACTAATTAAAATAAACCATTTCAGTCATATTCCTTTATTTCAGAATTTCGCAAAAGGCTATTCAAAGAGCTATATGTTCATAGCCATCCATAATTTTGTTTCTTTGTTATGGAGTTCGCGCAAAGCTACACGAGGGCTATCTGCGCTAGCCGTCCCTAATTTAGCAGTGTAAGACTAGGGGGAAGACAGCTAGTCATCACCACCCACCGCCAACTCTTGGGCTACTCTTTTACCAACGAATAGTGGGATTGACCGTCACATTATAACGCCCCCACGGCTGAAAGGGAGGGCATGTTTGGTGTGACGGGGATTCGAACCTGCGATAAGCAGATTACGAGTCGAGCGCCCTAACCACCTGGTCATGCCGGGCCCCATAATTTTGAGCTCATAGATTAGAAGGCGGCTAATCAACAGTACCCACTACCAAGTCTTGTCCGACCCAGTGGTGGAATTTCACCTTCACTCTTATAGGTCACCCTCAGTCCCAAGTGTGGATTGCGTTTTTGCCGCGAATCATGAACCATCTGATTCACAAATCGTGGAAGGTAAACCAAAGGTCACCACCGACTCTTTACAGTCACGAGTCAGGTTTACAGACGAAAGTCTAAACGAATGTATTTACCCATATTTTTTTTCTTACTATCTTAAACTTTGATTTTGGAAATATTCAACACCTATAAAATATGCTTTTGACTTTCCACAAGAGAATCTCTAAAATATTTAACCCAACCAACGAAAATCCGATTTCCTAATTTTAAAGAAAAAAATTGCCAGATTTACAAATAGTTTTATAAAATACATATCTCATTGTATGGTCTGATTTTGATTTCATAATGATCAGATGATCCAAACTAAGCACATGGGATTCACATGAATCATAACTGAATCACCCAAAAGTGACATGTTTAGGCTTCGAAAAATTAATTTAAAATTTCTAGTATTTGGCACCTTTCCAAAATACTTCAACGTAGGATGATCATATTAAATGGTCTAGACGTAGGCATCATGGTTTACTAATGAACGAATTTTCCTTTTGTTTTGAGGTTCCACAAATTGTATTTTGTTAGTACTAAATACCAAAGTCAGACAGCATACACGATAAGTGTATGAAATTATTTCTACACAGTGGTATAAGAAACAATGTTGAACTTTCACTGCACTGCTTCTCAGTCGTAAAGATATAAGTAGACAGTGATGAGGGCCAGGAGTTTATTTG